GGCCTTTTCTTTGATGAGGCCTTCTCATACAGGATCAAGGCCTTCTCTTTGATAAGGGAGCTCACTGATATAGGATCAAGGCCTTCTCTTTGATAAGGGAGCCTATTGATTAGGATCAAGGCCTTCTCTTCAATGCGCAGTAGCTTCTCATACAGGATCAAGGCCTTTTCTGGATAATAGCTTCCCATACAGGATCAAGGCCTTTTCTTTGATAAGACCTTCTCATACAGGATCAAGGCCTTTTCTTTGATAAGGCAACATATTGTCTAGGATCAAGGCCTTTTCTTTGATAAGGGAACATATTGTGGTGCTTCCTGTAACTAGGAGCATTGCATCAATAGGTGTTGATTTTATCCCTCCAGGGTCTAAAAATAACCCTCCGCAATCATAACTTAAACTCACAAGATACAGTCTCGAAGCAGACTTGCCTATTAAATTTAACCACTTTTGATGCAACATTTACAGTCGTATGTGTTGACCATTTGTGCAATTGTGAATCTCTACATCTGTTTATGCCAACAACACTGCTCAATGGTTATTATAGTTACGCCACTAGAATATTGTTTACTAACCTTCAATGGAACGGCGTTTGATTGGTCATTTAACCGTCCGCGTTATAAAAACAGCTCATAAATCTTAAAGTTTTCACAAATCAGAATTTATTAAGCCCTCCACAATCATCAACTAAACCCACTGGCTACGACCTTAAAGCACTCTTGCCTCTTAAATTTAAACAAACATTTAAAGTGACATTCTCCTTCGTGCGGGTAGCACCATGACCCTCTACATCCGTTTATGCCGACAACATTGGGTTATACAAACAGCCCAACAATATTACTACACTACTTACTGCTCAATGGTTATCATATTTATGAAAGTAGAATATTGTCTATTATACTCAATGAAACGAAGTTTGATTGGTCACTTAAATTTTCGCATTGAAACAGCTCGTAAGTCTCAGAACCCGCAACAGTTTCTGGTGACATTTAACTGACAAACTCCGTTCCATCAACTTACTCAGAATAAAAGTGCAATTAGGTATTGTTTTCTCACAGTTTTGATTCAAAGTCATCGGAATGGATTTGGGGATAAAGAATAGTGCTTCTTACAACAAATCCAAATGTCCACTCTATCAAACTGATAATTCTTCGAGTTGAGGCTGCTTATCGCCCCCCTACCTACCCATCTCATATGTCACAATTCCATTCTCAGTGTACGCAAAATTGGAGGATGGGAGAACAGTTACCAAGTACGTACTAGTCAGACAATAGAGAAATGGATGGATGGTGAGCCACCTGTTTCGCCTAGTTTTCAACGGAAAATGCACTATCAAAGAGATCTCTTCATGAAATCAATTCAATGCCCAGACTCTATACACTATACGCAATTTTCGCAATTCTGCATTCCTCAGATGCGATCGAATAGTGAAGCCCCACCAAAAATTAGAATACTTGTGTTTAAAAATAGTGAGATTGAGCAAATTGCACAGTCATACAGCGACGACTTACGTTTAAATTTACTGAATAGAGTGGCACATTTTCGAATTGTGAAGACGTATAGAGCCTTGACGACATTTTTTATTGTCTTCCCAACCCCTTGTTCAAAACATGTGTCTTAATATACTCACGATCATAAATCTACTTCCTCTCACCCAAACCTGACCCACGATGATTGATCAAGTTTTGTTTCTTCCCCTTGGTTCTTACCTATTCTTCTTCTTTTCACCTAAATGTAGGTCACTGAGGACCACCTTCATCTCATTTGTTTAGACCTTGGAGGATCATTGACTTTACTAGAGTACACCCAGCCAAATTTAACAACTCTCTTAAATCAACTTTACTGAAAGCGTTTAGAGATACTTTTATTCCCCTCAAAAAGTAGAGTCCTTCCGAATAGTTGAATTGTTTCACCAGAGAAGCGCGTTAAAAGCGCTTAAAAGTGATAAAAGAGACCTTGATATTGCGAATTAACCGCAACCTCAAATGGTTCCGCTTCTTTAGACCTCTGGTCATGAGCGAGATGCTACATTGCACAAAATCATCTTCAATTATTTGTAGATTAGATGAAGGTTTAACTTGCACTCGAAGTGCTGAGAAAGGTCACTTCTTTGGGAGTTGTTGGGTATAGTCGTACTTGAGAGAACACAACTATTACTTAGCCTCGAGCAAATACCTGAAATTGTAAATGCTCTCAATAAAAGCATGGATAACGTATTTGAACAGTACGTTAGAATTATAGGAATTAAATAAGTTCAAATAAGTTAATATTTCTTAACGTTAATCTGATTATTTTTGCCTAATTTGTAGCCAAAAGCCAATTCTCTCTCCCCTCCAATCCACTCTCTTCCCCTCGCCGATACTCGGAAAAAAAACAAACTTTACGTAACAGGACTCCTAAGATGTAGTGATTTGCCTTAGTCTTGGGAGGTATGTTTCGCCTGTGCCTATTTGGCAAGGCGTGAGCTGAACTTGATTTGAGAAGAGCCATGTTTAAGAAAAACAAAGCTTTTATTTCTCTATATGCTTTAGCATTACTTATACCCATGAACACCATTGGTGTACGATAAAGGGTAAAAATTTCGAACATCGAACATAACTTTGAGACACCAACCTATGTTTGAGTTCACCCTGTGTCCAGACATGGTGAAGGAAACAGCGCTGTGAGATCACTTCTATGTAGGCGGAACTTTTAAAATTTAGATATGGTTAATAAACTGCATTTCAGTGTGGAGGGATAAACAGCACAACCAATGGGTAGACAGAGAACAACCCAGTCAGACTTGGCAGACTACATTTCTCACATCTGGCATTGAAATCCCACAAGATTACTAATGGCATGAAAAAAAGCTTTTCCTCAGGTGCTCAAAGTCTGGCGTTGAACAATTGGGTTTAAAAACTTGAAATGGAGGAATGGGGGTTTCAAATGATTCGCCAAACTCACAACCACCAATAATTTTTTATGATTTCCACTTTATATCATTGGTTGAAGCAGATTCTCAGTCAAGTGTACACAAATCATGACAAAGGCTTGCATGACCATTGACAACCATACGGCTACAAAGGAAAGTGAATAATGGAAGGGGCAGAATGGAAGTGTAGAATTGGAATAATGCTCTGTTTGATGTCCAAGTCCACGAAGTGAGGGAGAGAGGGTGCGTAAAAATAGGACATTTTAAAATTAAAACGTGAACTGGTCGATATGGTGAATGTGTGCTTTGGGCACTGAGACATAAAATGAACCAATTAGCAATTGAAGTCACTCGAATTGGCAGATAACAAACAATACTTTTAGGATGTGTTTAGAGGGTAATATTTAATTTAGAATATTTTCCATTTACTTTTCATTATTTGCCTCAATCACCCATTAGCTGGCGAAAATCACTCCCACTTACCATGGATCCAATCCTTATGCAAAGTGACATTGATGTAATTCACAGGTGTGGTTTAATTCCATTGGGTCATGATAAGGTTAAAATATCGTGCACACTTCGTGATCTGCAATCACTTTACTCGCTTTCTATTCTGAGGAAACCACTTTACTTCCAAAGAATGAGCTGGTTTACCAAGTGGAAGTCCAAGTTGAAAGCCCTTTTTTCACGTGTCCGCAGTTTGCCTATTTTTAGCAGGAACTTTTGGAAAAAAGAGAAAATTTCAACTTTCTTTTCCAAAATGACACCCATTGTTGAACAATCATATCAAAGATCTCAAAAATTGTCTGCTCCATTGGTAGCCCTTCTAAGCTTAATTTTTGTATTTGTTCCAAGTCATAAATTGACAATAACTGTTCTACTACACCTTTTGCAATTGGTCATTTTTTTATTTGTATTATATAAAGATTGTAATGATCAGCAATTTCACACTGAATAAATATAACAATATTTGGAAATGAATTTTGCACCATTTTTATACCAATTGTTATAATGCATATATGTATAATTCAATTTCAAAAATCAAATTAAATATCGTTTTACGATGGAATAAAATGTTCATTTTAATAAAATTAAATTCAAAGATATATATATCTTTCAAACAGACCTTGACTAAGCCCCAGTAATGCCCACGGAAACACTAGCCTCAGCAATCCACGGGCGACAGAATGTATGGTGGTTGTGGTTGTGTGTACCTGGCACAAAGTTTGACCATAAACTTATTATTTTTGATAGGGTGACCATGCAGTAACTATGGCCTGTTAATGAGCAAAGGGGTCTCTGTGCTCCCATTACTGCTCACTCACCCTAACGCGATTAGCACCAATGCCACACGCGATAGTTACGAGATGTTTTGGGCCACCAACCGCTCAATTATGCTCGATCACATATGAAGCCTCCCGTTTCGCCAATGTTAGCGTTGAACTCTCTACACAGCAGAATGAAATATCTTTCGGAACCTATTGGTTAAACAAAAGTGTTCTTAAGGATTATCATTGAAACCAAGCCATAATTGATAAAGTACTTTCACAGAGCACTCACTTATTGCGAAAGATTTGAGATTAGGTTGAATATAGAATGTGTCAGCATCTTTTACTTCCTTCATTTCTTCCTAACTTCAGGCTTCATTAATTTAAACTACGCTGGCAATGCTGAGGACTATAATTCCAAATGTTCTTGTTATGGGGAAAAAAGTAATTTCAATTATTGCACAAGAACAGCGAAATACCCACATATTGGAACGCTGGGTATTGATAAGAACACGAAATGCGCCACCTCAATTGCATATAATTGCAGATAAAAGCAAACGCCCCAAAAGACCCAGATAAAAATGGCTTCCTGTGGAAAGTAAAGTGAAAAGAGAACCCTAATTTTCAAGTCTAGCCTTCAACTGAGTTGCAGACTGCGTGCTAAAAATATCCACGAAATGCCATATAACCAGCCAATCACACGCATGTCAATGGCATTGTAAGCGCGCATCAGTGTGAGTGATTTTGAGGGGGGGGGGTATTGGGTGTGCCTTGAAGAGATTGCGCACTGGAGTCATATATTTACATTAGCATTTGTGCGCGGTATGAATATTGGTGCGATTATTTTGAGGTGGTGTCTTAACCTTGAAGTTTCCCTCGAGATTCCGGGGTTTCTAAAAATCCCCCTCTACTGCTTTAAATTGACCAGTGGATTTATCTCGGGTTCTCTTGGCCTCCTTTTTCAAGGACTATGCTTCCTCGTCTACCTTACATATACCGTTTTAACAGCACCTATTTCAATATTCAGTTTTATAATTAAGTGCACTTGGAGTTTATTCTTGTGGATACTCAACACTGTTAATTCGTCTATCATATTGAAAGTAGCAGCCATAACGCTTCTGATAATCATTATCGCTCAGATTGTCAACATTTACCTGGAAGAGGTAAGGCGAAAGCGTGCAGAAGAATTATACTTCTATCAAAGGCGAATGCGAAGAGAAGTTGATCCAGACCTTTGGGGATTTCTTGGAGGTGTAGCAGCAGCTGGTGCCGCCATTGCAATCGCGAGTGCAATGAGAAGAAATTAGATAATTTTTGTTGAAAAAAATAATGCAATTGTTACATAATTTGAATTTTTGTACCATTTAATTGATCTGGCGTTATAGAATCACTATTTGCAGTTTGATTGCACCTTTATTAACGAAATTAAAACCTCTCGTATATTTTTTATTGATTTTTACCAATTTTTTTTATAAAAGCAGTTTTTTCATTATTATTCACTGAAAGCGGTACAATTTATGACATCAAACAAGGAATTGAATAGTTGTTACCACACAAAATGGACTATAATTAGAGTCAATAAGAAAGGCTTTCGATTTTAAAGTGGAACTGAGTCACCGTGGTGTAATAGAAGCCCCAACTGATTGGCTTTACTCAACAACAGCTAATTGCCATTTAAGCACACATGAAGATGTCAATGTTGCAAATCTGCAAGGTGGAAAGCACCTCAGTTGAGCAAGTGGTGCAAGAACTCAATGTGTCTTAAGAGGCGCATAACTGCTCGAAACTACACAAATTTACTCAAAAACCTCATTAGCCCCTGCGATAAATGAAGTCATCCTGTTCTAATGGTGTGAAGGCAAAATTCGATTTACAGTAAGGGCGATAGAAGGTGGAAGGGTAAGGTGTCGAGAGGTGACCGGTGAAATGACAAGGTGTCAAAGGGTCTTACTTCGTTTGCTTTCTTCCAATGCAAGTTGGATAAAATGATTGAGAATAGGTATTTGACATTCCATAACTCAGATTTCAGGACTCCTTACTTGGTTTCTACAAAACCAAGGTCTTCAATGTTCAGTGCCCATTGAGATACTCGATCTTTTCACTTAAATTCATTGGTTCTTTCCAGCAATTCACAATTCCAAAATGACATAGACATGGTAGCTTTGAATTTCACTAAGTTTTTAACGATTTCCTATAATTCAGTATACTTTACCAGTTGTGAATTGCATTAACTGACAACACAGGGGTTATCTATGATACAACAGAAAACCTGGCACCACTACCGCCAAATCTGGTGGAATCGGTGATGTTGGGTGAACCACATCGGACGAGTGTAAGCTAACTTATGCTATAGCGGATTACGAAAGAAATACTGTGCCTTTGGAATTTATTTAAGAACTTAGCAATTCACCATTTCATTACCACAAAGTTGCTTAATTTGCATGATAGAATACGGTGGAAATCTGTATGTAAATAGCTAAATGTATATGTAGAAAAGTCGCTTGTCATTTCCATAGAAAGTTAATTCGATTTTACGTCGAATTATTTGAAAAATGCAATAAATTGTTGGCTCATGAAAGGGAAGAGTTTTAATACATTCTTCGTTCAAGTGTGAGATATGCTGAAGATCTTCCGACTGAAAGGCTCATATTTGGAAACACGCGTACCGATCAAGTGTACCAGCTGACAGGAGGAAACATGACTTTGACTTCGTGATTGTTAGATGATTGGTTTGTGGAAAGGAGAGATTTCTCTAACTTATTGTCCAGCTGAGATGAGAAAGACATGCAATCGACCTATTTCCAACAGCGGACAGAAGTGGATGTCATTTCTATGGGAGATGAGGAGGGAAAAGAAGCAGCCTTTTCCAAGAATGGAAAACTACGCATCTAGTGCTCACATTGACGATCACCATTCGGAATCTCATCTCTTGTAGCGTGTCAACATCTTGAGGCGTCCCTGATGAGAAGGTGGGAACCTACAAACCACCGTACCTACGGGTATCAGATCGCCATTCAACTCACTTCGAAGGGGATTATGTTAATTGCTGCGTCAACTCAACAAGCTCACTATAGTTCACCACATAGTTGATTTTTGCTATTTATTTTTTTCCTTGTGTATAGGAAATATATGCTTTTCATATAAATAAAAATTTTGCATGCCCGATTTAATGCGTTCACTCATAAAACACACATTACTTAGCTAATTTACAGCAATAGTTTCTTCAATTCCAAAAGGTAACATTTAAGCAAACAGAATTAAGCAATTGGAGATTCAGTAAAGTGTGCACACACAATTATTTTTCGCTCCTCTGAATTTCCGCCATTTGCCTCCAAGATGTCTCAAACTGACGTGGAAAGATTGGTCGGAAGTAGAGTGGAATCAGATATAAGATGTCCTTCCTGAAATTAAGAAAAGCATATTAACCAAAATTCACTTCATTCCACTCCACATTCACAAATCAGAATTTATTAAGCCCTCCACAATCATCAACTAAACTCACTGGCTACGACCTTAAAGCACTCTTGCCTCTTAAATTTAAACAAACATTTGAAGTGACATTCTCCTTCGTGTGGGTAGCGCCATGACCCTCTACATCCGTTTATGCCGACAACATTGGGTTATACAGACTGCCCAACAATATTACTACACTACTTACTGCTCAATGGTTATCATATTTATGAAAGAAGAATACTGTCTACTAATCTCCAATGAAACGACGTTTGATTGGTCACTTAAATTTTCGCATTGAAACAGCTCGTAAATCTCAGAACTCACAACAGTTTCTGCTGACATTCAACTGACAAACTCCATTCCATCAACTTACTCAGAACAAAAGTGTATATAGGTATTGTTTTCTCAAAGTTCTGATTCAAAGTCATCGAAATGGATTTCGGGGTAAAGAATTATGCTTCTTACAACAAATCAAGCTGATAATTTTTCAAGTTGAGGTTGCTTATCGCCCACCCACGCACCCATCTCATCTGTCACAATTCCACTCTCAGTGTACTCAAAATTGGAGGATGGGAGAACAGTTACCAAGTAGGTCGAAGTCAGACAAGAGAGAAATGGACGGATGGTGAGCCACCTGTTTCGCCAAGTTTTCAACGGAAAATGCACTATCAAAGAGATCTCTTCATGAAATCAATTCAATGCCCAGACTCTATACACTATACGCAATTTTCGCAATTCTGCATTCCTCAGATGCGTCTAAAATTCGATCGAATAGTGAATCCCCACCAAAAATTAGAATACTTGTGTTTAAAAATAGTGAGATTGAGCAAATTGCACAGTCATACAGCGACGACTTACGTTTAAATTCACGGAAGAGAGTGGCACATTTTCGAATTGTGACGGCGTATAGTGCCTTGAACGATGTGTCTCTAGACTGTCGGTTGAGAGATTGGCGGTTAAAGGAGTGGCATTCAAGTTGGAGGAAGAAGGCCTCGGTTGTGAGGAATCGTCGATAACCTCCTCTGACTCCTCTTCGGAGATTCTGAAATTAGTAGGTCAAAGATCACCAACAGCGGGGTCGACTGATAAGTCAACAATTAATGTGCTGTTCGTCACCGTGACCTACCAGGAACAATCAGTACTGTCCAATGGAGTTTTTACAGTGAAGGAAATAACGCTGTGAGATCACTTCTATGTAGATGGAACTTTTAAAATTTAGTTATGGTCAATAAACTGCATTTCAGTGTGGAGGGATAAACAGCACAAACAATGGGTAGACAGAGAACAACTCAGTCAGACTTGGCAGACTACATTTCTCACATCTGGCACTGAAATCCCACAAGATCACTAATGGCATGAAAAAGGCCTTTTCTCAGGTGCTCAAACTCTGGCGTTGAACAATTGGGTTTAAAGACTTGAAATGGAGGAATGGTGGTTTCAAATGATTCGCCAAACTCACAACCACCAATAATTTTTTATGATTTCCACTTTATATCATTGGTTGAAGCAGATTCTCAGTCAAGTGTACACAAATCATGACAAAGGCTTGCATGACCATTGACAACCATACGGCTACAAAGGAAAGTGAATAATGGAAGGGGCAGAATGGAAGTGCAGAATTGGAATAATGCTCTGTTTGATGTCCAAGTCCACGAAGTGAGGGAGAGAGGTGCGTAAGAATAGGACATTTTAAAATTAAAAAGTGAACTGGTCGATATGCTGAATGTGTGCTTTGGGCACTGAGACGTAAAATGAACCAATTAGCAATTAAAGTCACTCGAATTGGCAGATAACAAACAATAATTTTAGGATGTGTTTAGAGGGTAATATTTAATTTAGAATATTTTCCATTTACTTTTCATTATTTGCCTCAATCACCCATTAGCTGGCGAAAATCACTCCCACTTACCATGGATCCAATCCTTATGCAAAGTGACATTGATGTAATTCACAGGTGTGTTTAATTCCATTGGGTTTGACAAGGTTAAAATATCGTGCACACTTCGTGATCTGCAATCACTTTACTCGCTTTCT